CTTTCGCTCTCCTCTTCCTCTTCTTCGTCGAAAGCGTTCTCTTCTTTGATTTCCTCCACAATTGATGTCAATTTGGGCGCACTTTTCGACCGCTCCAGAGGTGCCCTAAAGTTAGCTAAACCTTTGACCAGTAATTGTTTGCGGATCGGGATCTCCGACAGCGAGAGTCTGGCGTTTTGTCTCAACTTCTTCTCGCGCCTAAACTCTTGCAGAGCTGTCGAGAGCTTGTCGTTAAGTGATTCAGACATCCGCTGTTCATACGAGACATGAGATAATAGCATAAGTACTCATCACTAGCATACGACTGCACTCATGCATACCTGTGCCATGTCCTCCTTGGATGTGATGACGGCATGGCATCTGAGCTCTGGTTTGCCTTTGCGTCCGTCGTGTCTGTATATCCAACAGAAGAGTTTGGGATACGACTGGTGGACACAGCAGAAGGTGCACCGATTGGCCCAGTATTGCGTCAATCCGTGCTCTTTAGTGATGGCCTTAAGACCTGAGTTGCAAACCGTGAGCTTCATGTGAATGTCTGTCTTGACATTCGTGCAGTAGTTGTTCCAAAGGGTCTCCAGAGGTTTGTCCACCGATTGGTAGCCCTTAGCCCACGGCGTCAACACATTCCCCAAATACACCACTTTATACGTGGGATCAGATTCGGTGATTGTCAGCGACTTCTTGTTCCAGAACTTCAGGTGATTGAGGGATGAAGACATCACTGCAATGGATGCTGTGATTGATTCAGACAAATGTGACAAATGGTGACAAAACTGCGAAAACCATTTGCAATGCCTTTCGTCGACAAAACAAATGTAAAACTGATTATTATTTTAGGAAATATTAATCCAATAATTAATATTCAATTCAATGTCTGATTGTGTGATCGATTCAATCAATACAAACACTTGTATTCAGAAAATGATTCAATAATTGGGTCATTAGGGCATTGAAAGCAATACTAAATTGCAATTCAATTATAAACACAATTTATATAACATTCATATGATGTGAATGTGAACGCAATGTAATGTCTATTCAATTGAATCAATCATTCATTACATGCACTACTCGTACGGCTATTCAGTCGCCAATGCTTTCAAATAGACACACCTTTTCATACCATATCTCAAGTGTTGACTCAACTCTTAATCCTATCATCCATTTGATACACAATTAAAGGACACTTTCATTACCAAACCTATTGTCTATTCATATGGTGTTCACTATAGCGAGTGTTCACTGTAGCGCTTATAGGAAGTTCACACAACACTACAAATGGGGGACAAAAGTACTGAACAAATCGCCCCCTTATCTCATGTTTGCTATTATTAGTTCACTTTCTTAAGCCGGATCTCTATTGAGACAATCGTATCTATAATAATAAAATCAATTAATTGTTATGATTTGCAGTACTTTAGTACTTTCTCAACAAATTCAATGCAATTAAGTATATATTTTGTGCACTTTTATGACATTCAATGAGTGCCACAATTACGGGCCGTAATATGTGTTAATGTATTCAAACACAACGTATGTTTGATTTGAAATTTGCTATCATTTCCAGAGTTAACGTCCAATAAATGCAAACAAAACGTCATATGAAAGCAAACACTGAATTGATTGGAGCTAGTCTACTGTTTGATTGGACTTTGAAACTTTTAAATCAATTACTAATTATTTATAAATTAAATGCTTATAGGAATTATTGTGACAAATGTTGAAACGAGAGTTCATTTCATAGTATTAATGAAGTAATCAATTGATAAGAGTTTGTAATACATTGAATACATTGAATAATAGGTAATTATTGAATGCGATATAGAGTTGTAATCACATAATTCACATAATTCTCATGTATTTGCATTGCCTTCACTATAATCGGTAGCAATTAATTCATTTAATTGGAAATTCATTGTTATTTCGATATAATTAAACATATTATAAGATTTTAAGATTAGATCATAAAATGAAAGCATGTGTACAGTATGATTATAAAATTAAAAATATCCCTAATTATTTATACGGTAAAGCAGTAGTTATTCTGTACGGTACTGTAGTAACACAGTATACATTTTACACATTACATCGTTATTAGTAATACTTTATTTATAAATAAATATTAGTACTGTAATTTTTAGAAATTTCATAATTTAATAAACTCATATTTATAAATATTTATAATTATAAAATAATTATCTGTAATTTACAAACTTCATATGAAATACATATTCTTTTATTAATTATTTCTAGCAGAATGTTATGCTGAACATTGAGTATTTAGTCTATAAAACATTTTAACTAAAATAGCATTCAACTATTGATAACTAATATTTGATTAAATTTAAAAAACTATACGAATATTTGGCTTATAATTAAATCCAAAGATTAAATCTTTTTATATCAATTGATATATTATATTAATATAACATGTTTTTATGATACAATGAAAATGAGTACATGTTCTAGGCAAAGTTTTATTATAAGAATTGTCATAATTTTCTTGAAGCATTCGTTAGGTTTCATAAATATTTATTTCACAAGATATTTCTAATTTAATTATTCAGGGATTAAATTTTAAAATCTTTATTTTATTCCTTATATAGAAGTAAATATTAAATGAAAATTACAGACTCTATATATAATATGAGACCCTTAAACCTTTTATTACTTAAAACAAAAAATAAAACCCGTTCAAGAAATCATTATAAGAGATTTGCTTACCTTAAACATTGAATTCAATTAATCAGTATTTTAAACATATAATTCTCATCTAATATTTTATAATAAACCTTTGAAAAGTTAATATTCTTTATTACTGTATAAAAGATAAATCAAAACAAACGTTTGAAGTAAAATAACAAGTTATATAAGTATTACATATACAGTATCTCTGTTTTATAGTTAACTTCTAGTATCGATGTGCTCTTAAGGCTCAATTCAGTGTCATTCAGATAAAGTTATCAACCCTTTGTTTATGAACATTATTTGAGGTAAAAGTTTATACTGTCGTGATTTTTCGTGCACTACTCAAGGATATTGGTAATGGACACCAATTGTCTTAATCATCTAAAATGACTGAGTTATTTGAATTTACAAGACTATCACATAATATATTTATTATATGAGTTGAACACATTTCAAACCAATTCATTGTACAAAATGGGAAAACTGTTCCCAAAGTACTCTAAACCAGAACTAACTTCCAAACAATTGAACAAAAAATCATTATTAAAACATCTCTCCATATGCTAAACACTGAGTGTTATAAAATGTGTTTGATATGTGACTGAAATATGTTTGAGTATTATAAGATTAATACATCTATGAGCCGATTATACGATTAAACAAAGATTAATCCATTTATATTGAATCAACTTGAAAGTGGTTTTCGATTGCAATTCTCGTGAGAGTAATTAGTTATAGGAGTTTAGTATGTATTGAATGCAATGATTACGATATATGGAGTGAGAGGACAGACACTGTGACCCAACAGTACTGCCAGTGATTATGTATGCAAAGGACATACAGTTCGGGTCTATTCTCAGCCTTTTTATTGCATACAAAACGCATAAATAACTCTTAGCTCTAAATATTTAATTAATTTAATACTATTTAAACGGCAATATTATTCGCAAATTCATTTCCAGACTCATTTGGATTTGTATCGAATTTAAGCCTCAATTCGTTTTGCAGATAAAGATCTTTGCCTACAGTTTAGAGATGCGATTGAATTGAAAATTGAATTTAGAGTCAAAAATGAGGGGATTTCTAGATATAGCGATAGGAGAAGTAGTTTGTCTTTTATGTCATTTACGGCATATGAGAGTCGGGTAGAGTTGACTCAAACATATTTCGACCGCATATCACATATTATATAAGTTATTATTGCCGGCTATTTGTCTTCAATTTGATAAAGTCGTTGTAAAAAGGACTCCAAAATTCAAGTCCAGGAAATTTATTTTAAACTAATGATTGAGTCAATTGACTTTAAACTCATAAATTGTGGCCTAAAAACACTTAAATTCATATAACCAATGGACGGGAATATGGTATTGTATATCAACCCAGCGATTATGAGCAAACATATTATTATAATAAGCATTTAGTTTGAGTGCATTTCATGAAAGTATAATCAAATCAGATATAAATTTATTTAACTAACAGTACATCCAATCGTTTAGAATTGAAATCATTTCAATTGCACTCTTATGTGAGGATATCATTGCCAACATTAGAGAGAAGTCTATGAATTGTTACCTTTTTTTCACTGCAAAAACTCCACTCAAATGACATTTTTTGGTAATTCTTTGCTTTCAATTGCTTTCAACTTCTCTATCCATCTCTTATTTGTATGAATAGTTGGGCAAAAAAGTGCAAAATCTCAACGTATGGCTCCCTTTTGGATATTAAAATAGGAACTTATCTCGATTTACATGAAATAATCATTAAAGGACTGACATTTCAATACAATTGTGGGGTCTCTCGAGTCGCCAAATGCAATGCAAAACCTATTCATTACGACAATGCCTTTCACTTTTTTTGTTAACTATTTCTCACTAAACTTTCCGAATAATACTTATGATTATTATTCCGACTATTTATTTGACTTTAGATTCATTTAAGAAAACTTTTCTCTTTTTGCTCATTCACTAAAAACTAATTTTTTATTTCAATTTCAAGAATTTAAATAATTAGTTACACAAAAAAGTGTGAAAAACTTATAGCTCAGACAGTTTAGTTATTTTATATTTCAGATTCTTATTTTATTTGTAAATCTATTTATTTATTTATTTATTCACTTTTTGACACTTAAATAATAAACAAATAGATTGAAAACGAATTGTAATTAAACTAAAAGTTCTAATATTTGTGATGATTTTGTTGAATAATAAAATTGCGATCATTTGAGTTGTTTTCATGAATTTTATGTATAAATGAAATACAATTTGGTGTAATACCGGTGCTCGTTGTGGGCTTAGCAAAAGTGACAATACTTTGCATTTGTTGATAATTGAAAAGGCTTTGCATTGCCTTTCAGTACGAAGTGAATGACAATTGAAGTTTGAAAAGTAGATTTGAAACTTGCGTTTAGAAATTTAATAAAAGTTGAATTCGCGTACAATAAATGCATTGGCTTTGAGCCCCCGGCCAAAGAGCGAGACCTACCAGTCCTTCAGTTGTGTCTAAATTGCTAAATAAGCGAATGAATTGTTGAAGCATTTTGTGTCGATTTTTAGCTCAAAATGTGAAAAAGTGTTTAAAAATAACACTCGCATTGAATATGAAACGAGAAAATGAGCCAAAAATCATATTATTTAAGGTTAAGAGTAGTCATAATTTTCTTAATATTAAGCCATGAATTGAGATGAAGTGGTTGTAAAGGCTGTGAGCAGTGAAATCCTGTATTGCCAGAGAAAATACAATTCATTATAATTCTTGATAACAAAATTCTTTGAAGTGTAAACATTACAGAATTGCAAACTCGAGAAAATTGTTTATTCACGTGAAAAATAGTTTCACAATTTCTCGTATTATTAAATGTTATTTATTGAGTAAATTTAGGTTTTATTGAAAGTCGAAACAGCAATAAGGGTTGGGATCACCAAAAAGAAAGTCAAGAACTGGTTGTGAATGACAGACAAGAACTGAATGGAGTCTCACATGCGATGGGAGACTGAAGACTAATATACGAGCTATAGATTCAGTGAATAGTCGGACGGGTTTTGTGTTTGGATTGGGATTCAACACAAATAATATGCTTTACTTTAAAGTATTGTATCGTTCACTACAACTATTGTGCGGCTATTGAATGAGTGAAATATTTTTAGAATTTACATATTATATGACACAATAGGCGATGAACTCATAAAATATTTATTAAACATCGAGAATATAATAATATTGTTGAGAAACGGCGTTAATCTTAAGAACCATTTCAGTGGTTATAGCGGTCTAGCATTTGTTGGATAGTTAATGGCAACGAATAATATTTTATTATTTTGTTAGAAAAGCAGAAATCATTTCTTCATTTCTTATCTACTCTTTTAAGAATATTTATGACAAGTGTTAGTCATATAATATATATTTCCAAATGTTTGTTATTGGCTTTCAATGCCCAGTGGCTAACTATTTAATATGACTGCTCGGTCAGTTAATAATACATTTTGAGTTATTACAAAAATATATTGTCCACTACTATAGTGCCAGTCCTATAGTAGGCTGTGATAACAGACAGTTATAATGCATTTGAAGTAACGAGAAATAGCAGTAAATCTGTGTTGTGTTTGCAAAACAAAATTCACGATAAGAAGAGAGAGTGAGAGAGACTGCAATATATTTCAACTTTTATATTATATTACTTTTCTCCTACTATGAGATGCCTTTAGAGCTAAAAAGTAATATTTTGCCAAACATTCAATTGAGAGTATATTTTATATAAAGGGGGTCTCAACACAACTATTCAACCTTTTAATAAGTTTATATTCACTCTGTTTGTCGTTCGCATAACTTCTCATTTTTTGCTCTTTTCTATCAATTCTCACACTATATATAGAGTTAATATAGTTTTGTTACAATCAATGGTTCACTTGTTTATTGATATCTGTGGACAACATTTCTCTACAAAATTCTAAATCCTTCATCTCTTTCCATATAATTAGTTTCAGTCAATCACTTATTATATGAGACATAACTCATTATTAGTGTGACTTCAATATCCAGACCAATCACTCGATTCGTTACAAAACGCAAACAGAGCTCTCATTAAGAATAAGTTAAACTCAAAGTAAACTCAAAATAATGAACAGAAAGGACGAGAAGCTGTGAGAAAGAGTCATAATTTGATGTGAGTTTAGGGCACAAACACGAGAAGGTAGCTATGATTGTGTCATAAGATGGAGATTCTTAGCGACCATTTCCTGTTGCTTTCCTGTCTGTGGTTTCCGGACAGAGAGCGGCTGCAATTGGTGTCACAAATATATGTCTGGCTATCATTTCTGGTTGACATTCACCACTCATTCATATATTCTTCTCTTTTGATTAGAAGTAAAAAATGAACTCAAATGTTGGGAACAGTAGTAGTGATGGTTAGCAGTGGTGTAGTGGTTGTGAGAGAGATGCTCGGTCTGAGTGATTGCAACAACGAGTGGTAGAGTAGGAGTGAGTGTTAGTGTAAGTGATGCTAAAGAGTGAATACATAGTTAGAGATAACAAAGCATGCGAAGCCTTATTACTGTGTGTTGGGTAACAACAAGTGAAATATCATTGTTGTGGTCAAAGACATAGTTTGTTGAATGACATGAAAACCATTGAAACCATTGTGTTGTGTCAGATCCAGACGTCACCCGTCAGGGCTTTGAGTGCTTTGTGTGTAAAAGCATTTTCTACACTAACTATAGCTATATTTTTGTCGATACAAAAGCTTTTTTCATATCACCTAATAGTGACTCTCATCAGAACACTAATAGCACTCTCTCTTTATTATTGATCTTTTGTCCATTGGTGTCACAAATATATGTCTGGCTATCATTTCTGGTTGACATTCACCACTCATTCATATATTCTTCTCTTTTGATTAGAAGTAAAAAATGAACTCAAATGTTGGGAACAGTAGTAGTGATGGTTAGGTAGTGGTTGTGAGAGAGATGCGAGGTCTGAGTGATTGCAACAACGAGTGGTAGAGTAGGAGTGAGTGTTAGTGTAAGTGATGCTAAAGAGTGAATACATAGTTAGAGATAACAAAGGATGCGAAGCCTTATTACTGTGTGTTGGGTAACAACAAGTGAAATATCATTGTTGTGGTCAAAGACATAGTTTGTTGAATGACATGAAAACCATTGAAACCATTGTGTTGTGTCAGATGCAGACGTCACCCGTCAGGCTTTGAGTGCTTTGTGTTTAAAAGCATTTTCTACACTAACTATAGCTATATTTTTGTCGATACAAAAGCTTTTTTCATATCACCTAATAGTGACTCTCATCAGAACACTAATAGCACTCTCTCTTTATTATTGATCTTTTGTCCAGATTTTAGTCTAAAAATGAGCTCTTTTTAGTCCCTTTCACTTCACTCCTAACACTACAATACCTTATTATGGAAACAGATTTACCTAACTCTCCATACGAGACATACTCTCTGATAGTACTGTATTACAGACACTGCTTAATATTAATACTCTATTTAATGGTAATGTATTCGACTTTCATAATGAAGAATATATTCATTATACAGTATTTTGTTTCTGATAATCAAAAATAATTAAAATGCAATTTTCATATTATAATAAGCTTTTAGTTTTAGCCTTAAATATAAGAATATAATCGTATGAAAAGATTAAACACAATTATAATATTATTTTCTATTTTATGTATGAAGTCATTTAAATTCATACAATCAATTGAATAGCAAAACTGAAAGAACTTCGCGTTTTGCGAACCAAACAATTAAAATATTTTTATTAGGAGTCATAAAAAGTTTGGAAAATGAATGAAAAGATAATGAAATTAATCAAGAAATGGATAATGAAATTAATATTAATTAAGGAGTAATTCTTGAATATATTTAGTGACTCCCCAGTGACGCAAACACTTGCCTTTTATTCAAGTCATCCATTAATTCACTCGAAATACTAAACATATCATCAATAAAATACTCAAACATATAGAGAATTGAGTAATTCTTGAATATATTTAGTGACTCCCCAGTGACGCAAACACTTGCCTTTTATTCAAGTCATCCATTAATTCACTCGAAATACTAAACATATCATCAATAAAATACTCAAACATATAGAGAATAAGTGGAGAGAGAGAGAGAGAGAGAGAGGGAGGGAGGGAGAGAGAGAGTATGTATGTAGCGACTCGTGGATGTGATGGATGCACTGGTAGTACTGCACTGGTAGTGAATGAAGTGAAATCTACTTCAGAATATATCATGAATTGATTTCTTTAGGAGGAGATCGGCCACCAGTTCCCACCCAATGCTTTTGTAAGCAGTGCTGTAATTGGCAGTTGAGGCCAAACACAATGAGTAATTCTTGAATATATTTAGTGACTCCCCAGTGACGCAAACACTTGCCTTTTATTCAAGTCATCCATTAATTCACTCGAAATACTAAACATATCATCAATAAAATACTCAAACATATAGAGAATGAGTGGAGTGAGAGAGAGAGAGAGAGAGAGAGAGAGAGAGAGTGAGAGTGAGAGAGAGAGAGAGCTGTATGTAGCGACTCGTGGATGTGATGGATGCACTGGTAGTATGGATGCACTGGTAGTGCGGCAGTGAATGAAGTGAAATCTACTTCAGAATATATCATGAATTGATTTCTTTAGGAGGAGATCGGCCACCAGTTCCCACCCAATGCTTTTGTAAGCAGTGCTGTAATTGGCAGTTGAGGCCAAACACAAGTCTGCTATCTATTTGCCGAAACACTGCAATTGTATTGCTATTCAAAAGTCCAAAAGCAGTCATCAAAGTCTGATTCAAACACACAAACCATTCAAACTATTCTTCTCATCATTTTCTACTCGTATTTGAACGCAAATATTAAAAAACAAGTGCACTATTAAGCTATTCAACTATATTTACTGATTTATATTTTACGTTATATTCATTAATAGTTATTCATTATTTATGTTGTTTTAAAAATCAATGCATGTATTTAAATGTATTTTAAGTGAAAGCAATTTTAATAAGTTAAATTGAAAATTATTGAGTAAATCAAGTCATTGTTTTATTGGTAAGTTTTTAAAATTTTGTATTTATCTTATATTTTTCAAATAAGGCTCTAATTCTTATGACAGGGCTTTTATTTTATGAAGATTATACCTTGTAAATTTTGATTATATTTATATAAAACTTTTTAACTTAACCGGAAACTTTTTCAAAACTTTTTCAAAACGTTAAGCATGTGATCAGTGTATAATAGTGAGCGCTTTTGGCCATTTTAGAGTTAAATAAACTTTAAATTTATTTATTGTGCATAAAAATCAATCATATGATGTGATAAAAAAGTTTGACAATAAAAATGATTAGTCTTTTTAAGTTTTGGGAACTTTTCTTTAGGACTCTTTTCACACAATACCTCAAAACAAAAATTTCAAGTCAATTATTCAATTCATTTATCAAACGTTTCCCCAATGTTTCCTCACATTTAAAGTTACACTCATTTCTGATAACCAATTAATCAACAGTCTTGTAATAATCAATGTCTTTTAATAGTTATTAAAATAAATAATATTTAACTTATAATGAAATGCTAAAATAATGATTTAATCGTGAATAGTGTGCAAAATGAATATGACATCAATTAAGGGCAATATTAACGATCACGTGAAGCGTCCGATGAATGCGTTTATGGTTTGGAGTCGCGGACAGAGAAGAAAAGTAAGAATATTTACATTTATTTTATATGATATAAGTTATATCTCAATGAAAAGTCTTCAAATATAAATGTTATTTATTAAATATATTCTAGTAATTTTTAAAATTTTAATTAATAATAAGACTAGTAGTAAAATGTTAATTTAGATTTTTAAATATAATTTAGAATTACAATATGATAAATTAATTAGAAATAATTTATTGACTGAGATACACTGAATATTCCAGAATTTTGGTAAATATTTTCGTATATTTTAATGTAATTGTTTTAAAAACTAAATTAATTTTTTATTATAATTAAATCAAAGAAATAAAAATGCATAGAAATAATATTCAAACATATTTGAGCAAAAATGCAATTGAATTAAATGTATAGAATGTATGCTCTAATGAATATTATTCATAAATGTATGAAATATTATGAACACAAAAATATATATTAAACATGGTACAAAATAGTATTGAATTAATGATTTAAACAATTTGTGGTTCAGATCGCGTTAGAGAACCCAAAAATGCATAATTCGGAGATAAGTAAGCGATTGGGCAATGAATGGAAGAATTTGAGGTATGGTATGGTATGCCTACTACTGTATAGTATGCCTACCATTGAATTGAATAAATAAATTAATTTAAAATCATTTAACGTTTGGTGTATTGTATGAAAGCGATGGCGATAAGAGACCATTCATTGAAGAGGCAAAGCGTTTGCGAGCCGTATGTGTTGTTATATTAATACAATTTATTTGATATTTAATGAAAATACAATTTGTTTGAATTAAAAAAGTTTTTCAAATATAATTTACAGTCGAATAAACAACTAGTATAGAAATAGTGTTACTCATATGTAAGGCATTTGAATAGCATTGTCATTTAAAAGGCTTTTATATGCAGTAAAATGCCCTTTTTGAATACATTTTATTGAGTTTAGGAATAACAGTGAGAAAAGCAATTATTTATTTTAAACATTCTTTTGAATGATTGAATAATAATTGAATTGAGGATTGAATGAAAAGATGCAATAATTGATTGTTTAGATGCATATGAAAGAACATCCCGACTATAAGTACAAACCCAGACGTAAGCCAAAACATCTCATGAAAAAAGGTAAACCATTTGTAGCTTAGAGTCAAAAATTGATTATCAATCGACACCATCTATACATAACAGACAGATACCCGTTTCCCATGCCTTACATCCAGGCGCCAATGGATTACCTGGGCTTTCAAGCGGCGGCCGCATCGCTGCCACGATCTCTGTTCCCACCCCTCACACCATCATTAGGTCTGTCCTTTAATGACACCTATTTCCCGTCGATGGACACGAGTCGCGCCCCAACACACGAGACCAGTCTATTAGATCAGTCACTGCTGGCGGCCCAACACCACCACAACCATAACCATCACTTGACAGCCGACACCAAACTGGGCTTAAGTGGTGGCTTTGATATGAAGAGTTTGTTGCTCTCCGGACACAATCACTGTCAGAGCCATTCCAGCGCTAACTCGAGTATGTCGTGCACATCGCCCTATAACCTACTGGTGCCCTGCGGTTGTGGCTTTCATACCCCCGCACAGAACCCGGCGTTAGGTTTGCAATCGTTTGGATCCATGTCTTCGTCGAGCGGCACATCAACCATACCGTCGACGTCGATGTCTCAATCAAATAGTCTGATCCGACCCCTCACTAAACTGCATACCAATCAACGAGTCGATGATCGCAATAAATCCCATTCCCAGTCGCCGTCTCCTCTGGGCTTCAGACTAAGCCATCCGACGACGGCTTTGAGCAACAATTCTTCCGCGTCGTCGAGTCCCTCATCTCCAGTGCCCACAATCACTGCCTCCCACTTGTTTGGTCTCTATTCACACTACTTCACAAACGGTCAGTCCTTTCAATTCACCCACAATTGGCTTATAATTGGTGTTTGTGTTTCAGCCGCTACTGGAATGAGACCCCTTAACACCACGAACATTACCAACCCTACAAAGTCATCCCCCAATACATCTATATATGACTCCGGTATGTGATTATCTAATATTTATTTAATCACCCAAACAATTGAAACCACATATGTATTGACCAGTTAATAAAAATATGCGCACATAATGTGTAGTGTTTTTTAGTTGAACAGTAATTTAATATATAATTTCACAAACTATCTGTTTTAATGTCGAATGTATTGTAAATATATTTGAGTTAACAAAAAAAAATAAATGAAACAATAAATCTGTCAAAATTTATTTAACAATATGTACTAATTTTAGTGCTTTTGTATCGGAATCTCTTGCAAAGTATATATTAAGGACTTTATAAAAGTTGTTGAGTCAGAGAAGGCGTCATACAATACATTGGATATGATATGATGTCTACCTTTTTATCTCTGGTCTCACATGTAATGCAATATAAGTGCAAATTAAAGACATTCTAATGTCTATTATGTTTTCCTTCGGCACAACATAACAATCACAACATTTTCACCGAAAGATAATACAACCTCTAAACTATCAATGCATTCAATCCCAGCCCTCAATAGACCTGTTTTTTGGAGCCAAAGCTTTACTTTAAAAAAAAGTCAAAATCCATGCCTTCTATACCTCTCTATTAAATTGTGAACTCAAGTGACACATCACTAGAAGTCGAGGACTTGTTATTCCTTTCACTCCATTCCTATAATTCAGTCATTTCTCACAAACAAATTCTTACCAATTCCTCTCTCTCTCTCTCTCTCTCTCTCTCTCTCCCTCCCTATTTCACTCACTCACACAGAAGTGAATACAATAAATAATTATGGAAAAGAAAACAACAGAATATTTGTTTGAAAACATATTTGCTATTTTAGTTTGGAATTTGAATGAATAGATTGGATATGACATGAGTTGTGGATAAGTTTATGATTATAAAACAGAAAGTCATATATAGTTTTGATGGGTAACAGTATCTGAAACTGCTTTCCCCTCAAGTTTGGTATCAATTTTGAAATCATGTCAATAATACAGTTTTCGGTGTGTATTATATTGAATGGATGCCTGCAGTGATATATCCAAGCATTTTTATTGTAGAGTTAGGTACGGGTGCTGTTACAGTGAGATGTAATATTGTGTAAAGTATTTGTTTGGTACGGGTTTTTATCAGAAACAATGAACATAACAGTGTTTGTGACAAAATGTCAAAACGGAAACGTTAGGCGCGATAATGGCTGCGCATCCATACAATAGTGAATACAGAATAACAATAATACTGTTAATACTGTTCCCAATGTATTGTTCACAAGAATATAGTAGCGAATAGCGCGGGAGGGGATACATATCCAACTCATATAACAGTTAAATTTGTGAGCACTGATACCTAACTCTTACAGTGCAAACACCACATTAAAAACATCGCCAATGTGCCATAATATTAATTTATATAACTTTTATATTCTGTATCTAACGTTAGGCATCAGAATCGACACGAAAACACACACTAAAACCTACAGAATATACAGAATATACCGCACTATTCATTCTCACCGCTATATTAGGCCTTCAGGCAATTCAGGCGATATTTTTTCCAATTCTTTTATATTTTCTCTATTTTTTACATTTTTTTATTTGAATAAACTTTTCTATAACTCAGTACTGGAGTGGAGCCCTCTCTTCTATCTCTCATTTCTATAGACTATAAACACATTTGCATTGCTTTTCAATTATGTTTAGCTCTCATTCAAAGCTATCTCAACATCTATTTAATAAATATAAGCAATTATTTCCTTAAACTGTTTGGTTTATTATGAGCTCAAGTTTTGAGGCTATTAGAGGTTTTTCAATGCGATTGTACTCTAAATGAAAAACTGAAGAATTATTTATATGTTATTCTCTGTAAACAAAGAATTAATGAAATCAAAAACAAAAAGAGAGGACGACTTCGTAAAATCAATTATAAAAACTCACGACATAATTGATTACGAGTTTAGTTATGCTGCGCTAAACATTGTTAGCACTCTTAGGCTTTGGCAGGCATTGCCTAACCATTACAGCCAATAACAGGTAGCACTTGTATTCTCCCAACACTTGCTTTTATTCAATGGTGAATATAATACCGAATATTTCTTAACAAGCGATTCATATAAAAACTCCAAACAAATCACTTTTTGGTTTACTATTCAAAATTGAATGTTAGATCAGAGTTGGAGGTATAAGACCAGACAGTGCTGAGAGAGTGGCTTAAACTTAATCAGACAAATGATTAATTATAGCCCAAAGCTATTTGAAGAACTGAACACTTGCAGGTATTGCCAAAATTTGCTGCAAAAGTGAGTTTGACATTGACTGCCATTAGGAGAGAGAGAGAGAGAGAAAGAGAGAGAGAGAGAGAGAGAGATTGTTAGCGCACGGATTGTATAATTAAATTGAATTTATATTATTTATAAGGATGAATGGAAAGTCTCTTAATCCTGCTTTACATTAGAAATGGTTTTGCATTTAAAAGCTTATAAGACATCTGCTTTGGGTCAACAGAATGGTAGTGTTGGGAAGTATGGGGTAGTATTGGGTAGTATTTGGTAATATTTGGTAGTATTTGTTAGTGGCATAAGTGGTATGAGTGCTATAATCCTAGCATTTAGTGTATTGTCAGGTCTGCACATCTGTGACAATACTATTCTTCCGTTTTCAATATAATTCACTGTTTGGCACAACAATAGGTTGAATACAATTTTTGCAGAATATAATAGTGTATCAAAAATAGGACAACAGTTTTTTGCCAATCATTTTATGAGACATTCATAATATGATACTAACTTTTCTATTGTATCCTTTTATATATGTTATAATAAACTGCTTGTTTGCCTCATTGTTGCGCTCAATAAATATCAAATCGATTGTATTTTAGACCAGATTTTAGTGTATGTTTGGCAGACGTCTAATGTATCGCTTCTCTGATATTATGTTAAATGTCAGTTCAAATAATAATATCATTTCAAAAAATAATAATGAAATACACATTGAATTCCATTGAATTGAATGCAAAAAGATTGATCAAACATAACAATAACGAACAAACAGTCAGTTTTGTTTTGTTACTATTTTTTATTGATCCGACAAACAATTCACTTGACTATCAATTCTTCATTGTATTCACATTTCTATGTTTTATATAAACTTTTAATCAATTGTCAAATTTAATGTAATTCTATACCAGAATTGATTTTGAAAGTTGCAAAATATCTCACATTTTATTTATATCTTTTGTAATATTTGATATTGTGATATTAAAAATTCTATCAAATAAATATTATCAAAGTCTTTAATTTATAAAAGTTATTATCGCAAAATATTTGAAAATTAATTTTTCTTTAAATGGTTTGAATATATAAATGAATTTTGCTTAATATTATGAATTATCCCAAAGGACTTCATATGATATAATAGCATAACTTAAGGGTAAACGAAGTAAAAGAATTGAATTTTAAGAATTAATATATAAACAAACAATACATTGACTAACTTATGAACAAACAAATAGTATTGTCTGTGAAATCCGCCCTTAAATGCATTTTACAAAAAAAACAATTTTGAATAGAGTTTTGCAAATGTGTGTAAAACAAATTAAATCAAAAAGGGGTTGAAGAATATTTTCATTAAATAATTGATTGTTAAAAGAATAATAATTTATTTGTTTTTCCTTTTTGAATAAATATTTCATATCTATTAAACTTACATTATATGCAACACTTTATTCACGACTCAAAAGATAAGTGTATTCATTGCAAAGTATAATGAATTTTTATGAATCTTTAGATTTTATTTTATTTAAACAAAAGCTTTTTAAAAACAATTATTTGCATTATTTTGTGCATCAATTGTTTTCTCAGTTTTTAAATTATGTATTTTCTATGGGATTTAATTTTCTTACAATCGGTGCATAAATTTTTCAAAAACTTTTTAAATTCAATAGATATCTATTACTATCTATCTATTATACTATTACTATGACTTAGTACTCTTACCAGAAGTTGCCATTTACTGGTTTATACTGAATGATAGCATAAACCATAATTAAAATATCAATTATTTTAAGTTAATTATATTTAAAAATCAAAATTAATGTCAAAAGCCTTGCAATCATATAATAAAGTTCTATAAAGAATAGACTATTCGATGAAATATTTTATTTTATTGAGTAATACCTAAATAACATGTTTATAGATGTTTAGACATACAGTATAATAAATAATTTATCAGATTTTGATTTGAAAAATATTTTTTATATAAATACTCTAATTATATATTAATAATCGACATAATTATAGAACGCCTGTTAGTCACCCATCCCTTCATCGATGTATTTATATAAATAAATATTATATTTTATATAAAAGTTTTTCAAATACATCTAAAAACACGATTTCGGGGATTGAAGCAGAAATGACATCAAAAATGTTTAGTTTATAATAAGACGGGACTTGAAAAAAGTTAAATACAGTGCATTATAAAGTTGTGTCAAAAATTGCTCAGTTGTGGACATGACATGAGTATAATTAGGGTATAGTTTGTATTAAATAATATGGATATCATATTAAGTAAAAGCAAATGAAAAGGCAAACGTTTCCTACAAATCATAATAAATATGTAGTGAAGCGAAGGTCATATGAAATGACTTAATATTAATTTGTTTGGCCAACAAATTGGTATTTATTACAAATAAATTACATTTAAAGTGTATTCAAACATGCAATTTATGAGATGTTTTATAAAGCATTTTGTCTGAATTAGGCATTCAATAAACAAAGTCATGACTCGCAGTATAACATGAGTTTTTGTCATGTAAAACAACTAAACACTGTTTAGTTATGTTATGTTATGTAAAGTATGCCCTTTTATAAAGCATAGGCTAAGCATAGGCTGACCTTAATTGTGAGTCCTGTCAGAGAAAAATTTGCTCAAAACATATATACGTTTTGCAAAACGCCTTCATTTAATACTAACAAAGAAGTGGCCATCAAATGCTCAACTGTTTTGCTTTATTTAATTGTATCCCTTAATAG